CCTGATCCATCCTGGAGCAACCACACTGGGGGCAACTGGGATCAGAGTGAGAGCAGCTGGGCCCCTGCTGGGCTCATACTGGGACCATCCTGGGAGTGACTGCAATACTACTGGGAGTATGGGAGAGGCACTGCAACCATACTGGGGATGACTGGGATCAAACTGGATTCGTACTGCAAGTGTCTGGAAGTTCCTGGGGTCATACTGGGGGTGACTGGACTCATAGTGGGATCATCCTGGGAGCAACTGGGACCATGCAGGGGCAAATGGCCTCCTCCAGGCAGTGACTGAAAGTGCCTGAGGCCATACTGGACTCAGACTGGGAGTCCCTGAGAGGATAAGGAACCATCGTGGGGGAAACTGGGAGCAACTGGGACCACCTTGAGGGCAACTGGAATCCAGTTGGGAGTGACTGGGAGTGATTGGGATAATAGTGGGAGTGACCAGGACCACACTGGAACCATCCTGGGAGTGACTGTAAGTGACTGGGATCATACTGGGAGCAACTGGGTTATGGTTGTGGCACAAAGGACAGAGGGAGGGGAGGGAAAGAGAGGGGAGAGGGAATTTTAGAAAGGATAAAGAGGAAAGAAAGACAAAAAAAGAAGAAAAATAAGAGAAAAAGCCAAGTTTCAATATTCATTAAATGAGTGAGTCACTGAGAGCTCCCAGGTCAAAGGCAGGTGAAGTGTTTGCAGGGGACAGGAGCCTGTTCAGGGCTCAGGAGCTGCTGCTGCCCAAAGGGAGGAAACGCCCCGAGGGCTCGGAGCAGAGTTTGTGCTTTGGGGCCTTTGCCAAGAACCCGCAGGAGGGAAAGCAGTTCCAGCCAGGGGGGCCCAGGGGCTCCCAGCACGGGCCCAGGGGCTCCCAGTCACCCCCAGGATGGGCCCAGTCACCCCCAGGATGGGCCCAGTCACCCCCAGGATGATCTCAGTCACTTTTAGTCATGCCCAGTCTGATCCCAGCATGATCCCAGTCACTCCCAGTCTGATTCCATTCTCTCCTAGTAGGATCCAAGTTACCCCCTGCAAGTTCCCAGTTGCTCCCAGTTAGTCCCAGTATAATCCCACTCAATTCTGGTTTCTCCCATTATATCTCAGTTGCCCCCAGTGTGGTCCCACTCACTCCCGGTTGTTTCCAGTAGCTTCCAGCATGATCCCAGTTGCTCACAGCCACTCCCAGTCACTCCCAGTGTGGTCCCAGTCACCCCCAGGATGGTTGCAGACTCTCCCAGTATAGCCCAGTTGCCCTCAGCATGCTCATAGTCATACCCAGTTACTTCCACTTGCCCCAGGATGCTTCCAGTTCCCATCAGTACAATCCCAGTCACTCCCAGTCTATGCCAGTTGCCTCCAGAATGCACCCTGTCACTCCCAGTCACTCCCAGTTCCACCATATTTCCACCATGGCCCCACTGGCTCCCAGTTCCACCATGTGGTAGTTCCACTCACTCCCACTGGACAATGACAGTCACTCCCAGGATGGTTCCAGTATGGCCCTGGTCACTCCCACTATGATCTCAATCACTCCCATTCACTCCCAATTGGATCCCAGTTACCACCAAGGTGGTCCCAGTTGCTTCCAGTATGATCCCAGTTGCCCCCCGTGTGGTTCCAGTTGCTCCCATTCACCCCTCCTGTGCTTCCAGTAACTCCCAGTATCATCCCTGTCACTCCCAGCCACTCCCAGTAGATCCCACTTGCCTCCAACAGGCTTCCAGTCACCCCAGTATCATCTCAGTCACTTTTAGTCAGGTCCAGTATCATCCCACTATGATCCCAGTCACTCCCACTCTGATCCCAGTCTCTCCTAGTAGGATCCAAGTTACCCCCTGCATGCTCCCAGTTGCTCCCAATCACCCCACTAGAGTTCCACTCCCTCCCAGTCCCTCCCAGGACCATCCCAGGAGGATCCCAGTGACACCCCAGATGGTGGCACTCACAGCCAGGATGAACCCAGACATGCCCTGGCACTCCCAGGATAAAGCCATTTGCCCCCAGCAGGCTCCCAGTTCCTCCCAGTCACTGACTATGGTTCCAGTTACTCCCAGGATGATCCCTGGTACTCCCAGTCACTCCCACTATGATCCCAGTCAGTCTCAGTATGATCCCACTCACTCCTGGTCTCTCCCAGTATATCCCAGTTGAAGTCAATGTGGTCCCACTCACTCTCAGTTGCTCCCAGTAGCTTCCAGCATAATCCCAGTTACTCACAGCCACTCCCAGTCACTCCCAGTGTGGTCCTAGTTGCTCCCAGTTTTTCCACTGTGATCCCAGTTGCTCCCAGTTGCCCTGAGCAGAGACCCAGTTGCTTCCAGTATGATCCCTGTCTGATCCCAGTCTGATCCCAGTAATATCCCAGTATTATCCCAGTACAATCACAGTTGTCCCCAGCATGGGCCAAGTTGCTCCCAGTTGCCTCCAGCACAGATCCAGTCAATCCAAGTGTGATGCCAGTCTTCCCCCAGCATGGTCCCAGTCAATCCCAGTTGCCCCATTGTAGATCCAGTCACTCCCAGTCACTCCTAGTGTGGTCCCACTTGCTCCCAGTATGATCCCAGTAACCTCCAGCGTGATCCCACTTGCTCCCAGTATATCCCAGTTGCACCAACATGGTCCCAACTGCCCTCAGAATGCTCCCAGTCACTCCCAGTATGACCCCAGTCACCCTCACTGTGGGCTCAGTTGTCCCCAGCATGCTCCCAGTTGCCTCCAGCACAGATCCAGTCAATCCAAGTATGATCCCAGTCTTCCCCCAGCATGGTCCCAGTCAATCCCAGTTGCCCCCTTGTACATCCAGTCACTCCCAGTTCCTCCCAGTTGCCCCCCAAATGGTCCAAGTCACTCCCAGTGTGCTCCCAGTCACCCCCAGGATGGTTGCAGACTCTCCCAGTAGATCCCAGTTGCCCTCAGCATGCTCACAGTCATACCCAGTTACTTCCACTTGTCCCAGGATGCTTCCAGTTCCCATCAGTACAATCCCAGTCACTCCCAGTCACTCCCAGTCTATGCCAGTTGCCTCCAGAATGCACCCTGGCACTCCCAGTTACTCCCAGTTCCACCATACTTCCACCATGGCCCCACTGTTTCGCAGTTCCCTCCTGAATAGTTCCAGTTATGCCCAGTATGATCCCAGTCACTGACAGTCACTCCCAGGATGGTTCCAGTATGGCCCTGGTCACTCCCACTAGGATCCCAGTCACTCCCAGTCACCCCCACTAGGATCCCAGTCACTCCCAATTGGATCCCAGTTGCCCCCAAGGTGGTCCCAGTTGCTCCCAGTATGATCCCACTATGAGTCCAGTCACCCTCAGTACAATCCCAGTAACTTGCAGACACTTCCAGTACGACTCCAGTTTGATCCCAGTCATCCCCAGTATGACCCCAGTCACCCTCACTGTGTCCCCAATTTCTCCGAGCATGGGCCAAGCTCCCCAGCTGTGATCCCACTATGATCCCAGTACTCCCCAGCATGGTCCCAGTTGCTCCCAGTTTCTCCCAGTGTGATCCCAGTTGCTCTAAGTTGTCTCTAGGATTGACCCAGTCTCTCCCTTTAAGATCCCAGTCCGATCCCAGTATGAGCCCAGCAGGGGCCCAGCTGCTCCCAGGATGACCCCAGTTGCCCCCAGCGTGGTTCCAGTTGCTCCCATTCACCCCTATTATGGTTCCACTCACTCCCAGACACTCCCAGTATATCCCAGTTGCCCCAGTTCTGGTCCCGCTGGCTCCAGTCCAGGTCTTGGTGTATCCCGGTGCCCCCCCTGTTCCCCCACCCTGCTCTCACCCCCTTTTCTCTCCCCACAGAGCTCCTGAGCCGCCGGCGGCCGCAGCCCCTCCCCGTGGCCTCGGGCCCAGCCGGGACCCCCCAGTCCAGCCCCGCCCGCACTTTGGGGGGGTCGTGTGTCCCCCCCGGCCCTGCTTTTGTTCACACCCCAGCCGACTGCTCCCAGTGTTCCCAGGAAAGCTTCCCAGTTCTCTGCAGTCCCTGTTTTTGGGGGGGCAGTGAGGGGGCTCTGAAAATCCCAGGAATGGGGGGGGTTGGGCACTTCCAGACCCACAAAATCCTTTGAACAGGGCTTTTGGGGACATTCAGACCCCAAAAATCTTGGGAACATGGGGGCTCTCCTACATCCCAGAAGTTACAGGAACATCATGTTTGGGGCACTCCCTGACCCCAAAATATTGGAAAAGAGGGGCTTGGACACTCCTAGACCATAAAACTCATGGGAATAAGGGGTTGGGGCACTCCCAGACCCTAAAAATCCCCGAGAAAGTTTGCTTGGGCACATCCAGAGCCCAAAATATTGGAAGAGAGGGGACTGGGCACGCCCAAACCCTAAAAATCCCAGGAAGAGTGGGATTTGGAAAACGTCACACCCCAAGAATCCCAGGAACTGGAGGTTATTGGGCACTCGGGGACACCCAGAACCTCATTCCCACGTATCCAGGTCAACCCAAACGCCAACCCCAGGAATCCGAGAACTCCCAAAACCCACCCCGGACCCCCCAAGGCCTGGGCAGGGTCAGCAGCAGCAGCCAATGGGAGCGAGCGGTGCTGACGCGTCATCAGCTGCCGGGCAGACCCGTCCGGAACGGAGCCCTCCCCGAGCTCAGCCAATCAGAGACCGCCCTCCGGTGATTTTGGGGGCCCGTTGGAGCTGCGGGAGCCCCGGATGGGCGTTTTTAGGTTGCCCTGAGCTTTGGGAGCCCTGGATGGGCATTTTTGGTGGGCCCTGAGCTCCCCCCTCCCCCGCAGCCCACGGACCCCCCCGAACCCCCCAGTCCCGGGGCTGCCGCGGGGGCCCCCAACGGCCCTCAGCCAATCCCAAAGCGCCCACGCCGCCCGCGCCCAATCCCAGCGCGCCGCGCTGATGACTCATCAGTCGCCGGGAAGACGCCTCGAAAAAAGGGCCCCAACTGCGCCCTCAGCCAAGCCCAGCGCGCCCCAAACCCCCCAAAACGGCGCCGCCCGGCTGGTTTGGGGCTGTCAGCAGCTGTCCGGCGCTGGGCATGGAGCGTGTGCGGGGAGCTGGGGCCGTGCTGGCGGTGCTGGTGGTGCTGGGAGCCCCCCCGGCTGCGGGCGAGGAGCTGTCGGGTGAGCAGGGGTGGCGGGCAGGGGGGTGGGGTGTGAAAGGGGGGGAAAGAGGGGAGAAAAGAGGGGGTGGGAGCCCCAGAAGTGAGTGCGAGGGGGGTCGGAAGGCCCAGAGTGAGTGGGAGGGTGGTGGGAACCCCAAAGTGAGTGCGGGGGGTCTGGGGATTGTGGGGACAGTGGGAAAGGGGTGGGAGAGGGGGGAAAGGGGTGGGTGGGAGAGCAGGCAGAGGGGTGCCATGGGGGTCCCTGGGTGTTTCTTGAGCCCTGGAGCGGTTCCTTGGGGCTCTGGGGGGGTCGAATCCGCAGTGGGGGGGTCCCCAGCCACCCTTGTCCATCCCCGGGGGCTGATGGGGGCTTCCCCCCCCAGCCAAGAGCCGGTGCTGGGGCGTCCGTGGGGCAGAGGGGATGGGAAAGGGGGGTCCGGGGTGGCCCCCTGAGCTCCCAGCCTGCTGTGGGGGGATGGGGATGATGGGGGTGGACGGGGCACCCCCTGACCCGTGTCCTGCACACACAGGGGTGTTCCAGTGGATGGGAAAGGCCGAGTGTTACGTCATCAACGGCACCGAGCGGGTGAGGTATGTGGACAGGTACATCTACAACCGGGAGCAGTTCGCCCACTTCGACAGCGATGTGGGGGTCTATGTGGGAGACACCCCGTATGGAGAATTCTGGGCCAGGCAATGGAACAGCAACCCCAAAATTCTGGAGTACGAACGGGGTGAAGTGGACAGGCTGTGCCGGCACAACTACAAACTTGGTGCTCCGTTCATCGTGGAGAGGAGAGGTGAGCGTGGGGCAGAGCGGGTCCCCTCGGTCCCTGTCTCGGGAATGACCCTGGAGCCCTTCAAACCCTCCCTGGGAATCATCCCAGACCCCTCAGCCCTCCCTGTGCCCTTCCCTTGGCCTGTCGCCCCTTCCCAGTTCTTTCCTGTCTCTCCCAGTCCTTCCAATGCCCCCTAGTCTCTCCTAGTCCATTCCACTTTTTCTGACTCCATCCCAGTCCATCCCAGTCTCTCCCAGTGCCCCCCCCCCGTCTCCACCCCGCTGGGGCCACCGAGCTCACGCCCCTCAGCCAATCCAAGCGCGTGTCTTTGATGACGCTCCAGTTGCCAGGCAGACCCAAAGCGAAGAGTTCCCTCCCCACGACTCAGCCTCCCAGGCCCGATCGCTTCCTTCCCAGTCCAGACCAGTCATTCCCAGTCCTTTCCAGTCATTTCCAGTCATTCCTAGTCCCCGTCACTCCATTCCCAGACCCTCTCACTCCATTCTCAGTCGTTCTCACTTCACTCCCACATCTCCCAACTCTCTCCCCAGTGTCCCCCCAGCCCAGCCCCTTCTCCCCCACTCTATTCCCAGTCCCTCCCACTGCCATCCCAGTCCCTCCCACTCCCATCCCAATACCTACCAATGTCCTACAAGTCCTCTCCCCTCCCTCCCAGTGCCCCCCAGCTGAGCCCAGTGTCTCCCCCGTCCCTCCCAGTGCCCCCCAGCGTGTCCATCTCGCTGGTGCCGTCGAGCTCCCAGCCCGGCCCCGGCCGCCTGCTCTGCTCCGGGATGGATTTCTACCCTGCGCCGGTGCAGGTGAGGTGGTTCCAGGATGGGCAGGAGGTGCCGGAGCACGTGGTGGCCACCGACGTGGTCCCCAACGGGGACTGGACCTACCAGGTGCTGGTGCTGCTGGAAATCCCCCCCCGGCGCGGGGTCACCTACAGCTGCCAGGTGGAGCACGTCAGCCTGGAGCACCCCCTCAGCCGGCACTGGGGTACGGCCCGGCCCCCCCAGCACTGGGGGCACACTGGGGGCGACTGGGAGGGAGTTTGGTGGGTGCTGGGGGTGCTGGGAGGGGGGTTGGAGGGTCCTCAAGGGTCCGGGAGGGGCCGGGTGGGATCCCTACAGGGGCTGGGAAGGGACTGGCAGGAGGTTTGAGGGACCCCCGGGTGGGCTGGGGGAGAGCGGGCCGGGCTCTGTGGGGTGCCGGGGGGTGCGTGGGAGGAGGTTTTGGGGGTGCTGACCCCCCCGGCTGGTGGCTCCCCCCAGAGATGCCACCGGACACCGTCCGCAGCAAGATCCTGGTGGGGGTCGGGGGCTTCGTCTTGGGCTTGGTCTTCCTGGCGCTGGGGCTCGGCTTCTACCTGCGGGAGAAGGTAAAGGGGGGTCCCCAAATTGGGGGCGTGGCCCCCCCCTTGCTCTCCCACAGCCTCTGGGCCCCCCCTGCCCCCCCAGCCCCTTTGCTCTCACCCCCTTTTCTCTCCCCACAGAGCTCCTGAGCTGCCGGCGGCCACAGCCCCTCCCCGTGGCCTCGGGCCCAGCCGGGACCCCCCAAACCCTGCGCTCATTTGGGGGGATCGCCTGTCCCCCCCTTCCCTGCATTTCTTCCCACACTAACCAGCTGTTCCCAGTGTTCCCAGTAAAGCTTCTCAGTGCTCTGCAGTCCTGGGTGTTGGGGAGAAGTTGAGGGGGGGGGTTCCAAAAATCCTGGGAATGGGGTGGTTTGGGCACTCCCAGACCAACAAAATCTTGGGAAAAGGTTCTTTGGGCACTCCCAGACCCAAAACATCCCGGGATCAGGTGGGTTGGGTCACTCCCAGACCCCAAAGTATTGGAAATTAGGGCCTTGGACACTCTTGGACTCCAGAAATCCAGGGGAAAGGGGGGGTTGCACAAATGTGATCCTCTCAAAACCCCATGAACAGGGGGGTTTGGGCTTTCCCAGGTCCAGAAGATCCTGGAAAAGAGAGGTTTAGGTACTTCCAGACCCCAGAAACTGTGAGAACTGGGGGGTTTGGGCATTCACAGAACTAGAAAATGATGAAGAAAAGAGGTTTGGGCACATCCAGAGCCCCAAAATTCTGAGAGCACAGAGGTTTAGGCAGCTCCCC